AGAAGCTGTTCTTATAAGCGTAACACTGAGCTTGGAGAAGGAATTCGAAGGCGTCAGTGAGCCAGTGGTTCGAGTTCTGCGAGAGCTTGAAGAAGACATCGACAGGGACAAGCTGCGGTACCTGCTCATCTACAGTAAGAAGCTGGGTAGTTTCGAACAAAAGGCACGATTGGTCAGAAACGCACTGGAGGAATTGCTGGAGGCCGACGACGATCTCAGCGGCATGTATCTGACAGAGAAGGCAGAAGGCAAGACACGGGAAGAAGACGATCATACCGAAGTCGAAATGCTCCTTGAATCCTACCACAAGGTCGCCGACGAAATCGTACAAGCTGCTGAGAACCTGGTATCTAGCATTAGGAGCACTGAGGAGATGTACGTTTTTCTACGCCCCTCTCTAGCATTCTCCAACCAAACTAATTCTTGTATAGTGTCAAAGCTATTTTGGACGCCAACCGCAACTCCCTTATGCTTCTCGACCTCAAGTTCTCCATTCTTACCCTTGCGATCACTGCCGGAACCTTTGTTGCGGCTCTATACGGCATGAACCTGAAGAACTTTATCGAAGAATCCGATCTTGGTTTCTTCGGCATAAGCGCTTGGTGTACCGTGTTCGGTTTTATCGTCGCTGTATACGGACTGTCAAGGCTTCGTAAGGTGCAACGGGTCAGCATGTATGGTCACGGACCTGGTGCGCTTGTCAGCAGGGAGCCAACTAGACCAACAGTAGCTCCAGGCAATACATGGGGCCTTGGTGCATGGGGTGGCGGTAGTAGAAACGGAGTTAGTCGAGGGGATATGGGTAGTACGATGCCGTCTGGTGCACCAGATCTGGGCGGTATAACGAAGAGGGGTGACACGCTGGCAAGCGTCATGGAAAGAGAGAGGGCGTTGGCAAGGAAGTTGGCCAAGGTGGAACAGAGGGCTGATGACGCTACGAGACGTTAACGTGGACTCATCTGCTCGTGTGGAAGGCATTTGTGTTTCTCTGATCTGTTTTTGATCTCTGCTCAGATATCCCTCCTCATTTCTTTACGCTTTTTGTACGAATAACGTATAAGTCTGGCTGCATAGCGATGGCGTTTGGGACGCATGACAAGATGGGCATTCTTAGACTGGATACTCAAGTTGTATCATCATTGTATAGTAGTATGTATGCACAACCTTGTTTAGGCTACCCTATCAATCAAGCAATTAGCGTTGGCTTGTATTCATTTCTCGTGTCTCTTGATTAAGTAACGCTTAGTTTTCAGCTACTATGCGCCAATGTTTCGATCCATATCTTTGTTTCCACCGTATCCCTGTTCTCTCCTCTGCTTGGCCGCACTCTCATCGTCTTCGTTCAACGCTTCTGTACCACCGAATCCGCCTGCTTATTGTTAGCCCGCCGTCCAAAAGTCATGGTGATCTGTTAATGACATACTTTCAGTGTTCGCCTCACCCGTCGAACTTGTTGTCTTGCCGCCAGCCCCACCTTCTTGGATACTTTGTCCGTACCGGATCTTATCTGCCGGTGTGATGCCTTGAGTGTTGGGCGCGCCGGGGTCGGAGGTCTTCTTGTGCATTGAGGTGCCTTCTGAGGGGTCTGGAGGAACAGATGATTAGCAATTGCACAATAGTGGATAAGAGGGGCAAACGCCATACCGCCTAATTGACCAGCTTGCTTGGCATGAGGCTCGATGAAGGTGTGCACATCTTCGTATTGGTTTTGGTTCTCGCCGCCGGGCACAGTGTCCATAAGCTTGTCTGACATATTTGCGAGTACGGTGGTTAAACTGGTTTTGTGTGTATGAGAAGGTTGGTATATGACAAGGTACGAGATTGTTTGGATTGGGTGAGATCGTAGTGGAATTGAAGCTCAGAAACTCGAGGTATGGGAAAGCTCCATGCTATGACGTAACCACCAAACGCCGAACGCGAGACGCGCTCTGTAGCGCCAGAACACCCTGGTGACGACACATTAACTACGTTTACCCTGCAATCGAATCAAACATGCGAATTTGCGTTTATGCCGAATCGAAATCGATACCCATGGCGTAGCTGCGTCAATTGTAAGCTTCAACCCAACTTTATCAAAGTGCAGCACATACCTCTCGTACAACCTCATGTACTTTGCGACGAAAGCCTCTAGATGGAAGATCTGCTTGGCGCCCATCTTACACCTATGCTCATAGAATGCCGCCCACTTGATAACCTCAGGCTTCAGTGCGTCCTCGGTCAAGGGTATTAATTTCCAGGTAAGCGTTTTTATGATGGTTGTAGAGTCGATGCAATGCGATAGCAGGTCGTAAAGGGAGGCGCGGACTTGTAGAAGGCGTTGCGGAGATCGCTCCTCGACAATTTGGCGGGCGATTTGCTGAATGAGTGCTTCCCAGTCAGGTGGAGGAATATGTGTTTGGTCGGTGATTTTCTCGCTGGTGGTATGTTAGTATTTATGAGGCTTTTATGGGTCTGAAACATACTTCTGAGCGTGTACTGCTTCGAACATTAAAAGCGCCTTCCTCAAGTTACGTCCACTGTCCTTCGCTATCCTCTGATTCAGACTCTCCACATCTTTCCATCCCTCCTTCTTGCCCACGTTGCTCAGAACATCGCAGATTTCAGTCTCCGTCGGCGCCGCAACTCTCACAAGGAGCGTTCTACTCCTGATGGGTGCGATGATGTTGCTCGTAGAGTTTGCCAATAGAATCAACCGCAGGTTGGGACTGTACTTCTCCATGGTCCGTCTGAGTGCTGCTTGCGCATCTCTTGTCAAATGATCTGCCTCGTTGATCACAACCACCTTGAAACGCTGCTTCGCGCTCAAGTCGACCTGTTGTGTTTGCGCCACTTCCTTCAAAAGATCTTGTACAACTACTCTGTCATAGTTTCCAACATCTGATGGTGTGATTTCGAGGTGGTACACGGACGCGACGATGTTGAACTCGAGCTTCCGGTTTGTGGTGGTTTGGAAAACGCGTGCATCGATCTTAATCTTTTCGACACCGGGTCCATAGAGCTCTTTGAGCGTTGCGACGATGCGTGTCTTCTTGCCTGCGCCAGAAGGACCGTATACGAGGAGATGTGGAAAGTCGCCGCTTTGTGCCTATATAATGTTGCGTTAGTCGCGTTTCGCCTACTGGACGATTTCGATAGTGTCCTTACGAGGGCTCGTAGACGATCTGAAAGCTCGGGGTGATAGCTGAGTGCTTCAAGATTGCGCGGCCGGTGTTTGTCTACTAGTAGCGCCATTGTTTGATTCTGTTGTGGGCGTGTCTGCGAAGTTGCGAAAATTGGTGGAGCGTGAAAGCCAGACGCGTCCCAACGACGCGTAAAGTGGTGGGCTAGCTTGGCAGTCCACACGTCAACGCCTGACCGCGCTCTACACCACCATTCACATACAAGATTTCTTCAACTTTTGAACAAGATAACATTATCTGCTCAAGCAGCTTTCCGAATGCGATATCTATGAACTGGGCTGTCCTGTGAGCCAACATGCTGCAATGCCGCCATCGAATATGTCTTCCCTTAGGGCAGCCAGATGACGTTTGGTCAGCTACACATGATGGTGTGCACATTTAGGTCCGAAAACAATACACTACAGACTCTAGAAGCTTCTGATATATACGAGATGGAACACCACGCTTAAAGCACGTTCTCGCTCAAATTGACATGTACGAGGCGGCAAGAGCTTAAGAAATCGGGCACTTACACTCAAACAAGAAGCTCTACATATCACGATTCTGGCTTGCCTTGCAGCCTGGAGCCATTTTACAAATAGCCTTCACTCTAGATAATACAGACCGTGGGTTACTTCAGACGCTGCGACGACTATGTGCTGCCATCGCATATTGTCGCGCAGTGAAATCACCTAGCTCGTGAAGTTCAGTATATTCTGATGGCCTCCATCGTCCGGAACAAATCTGCAACATGTTTCAGTCACTCGAGAGCAACTTCACACTCGACTGCGAGGACTCAACTGAGACTGGAAGAAATTTCCGCAAGAACGACAACAAGCGCTCTGCCCATGTCGAAACCCATGTTTCAGGATATTATGACACAACCATACGAACATTGGGGTGATCACTCGTCCAGCTCTTTAGGGACACATCAGCCGATGAAAGAAGTATCAAACGAGCCTAGTTACTCAGAGGCTGAGTCTTCTGGCACAGAGCGATCTTTTTGTACTGCCTATGCCACTATGCCTCCTACAGCTAAGAAAGTACCTAGGAGTGTATCCAGGAAAAGTCGATTCATCGAACAGTTTGGCAGCCTCAAGCTGACCAAGGCAAACCTTCATGCGTTAGAGACTAGCCACGGTCGCATAACCCCAAAGCCGGCTACTCCTGTAGAAAGAGAGATCCGTTTTGAATCGTCGCCACGTGGAAAAACATTTTTTATCCCTCGCAAGCCACTTCCAGAATCCGCGCGAGAGGTACTTCAGAAGATAAGAGCCGAAACCATCACCCAACATGACGAACCCCCAATTTCAGAGTCTGACAGTAGCCCATGTCCTCCTCGCTCGAATGCCACCTTTGAAGACTTTTTGCCATACCACCAGCTGCGAACCTGGCAGCAAGACGATAACGAGGAATGGCAGCGTCGTCGTGCGCGATCTCTGTCTGCTGTTGCGTTCGAAAGTATGAAAAAACTTAACTCAAGTTGCGACAGTTTATCAATTCAGGGTAGGAAGACTGCGAATCAGGTGAAAGAGGTGATCAAGCGTCGTATGCTTGACCATGACAAGTAGGGCAGCTGTTCAGACCTTTGATTTGTAGGATAGTATACAGAATATGTCTTTTTGGGCTATTGACACAGACACCAATATGTTTCTTCGTTGTAGCAACGGAACTAACAACATTGATCAAATGTGCCGTTAAAATACAAGTGTGTATAGAAAATGACTAGAAGCTCGATCATGTAGAGGTGCGGCAAACTTCCTTAACAAGAAAATGAAAAAAAAAATTGATCAAGACGCTGTATCTAGCTATACCGGTTCACAGACAAGCAAAAAAAAACGTCGCCCGACCAGGGACTCGAACCCTGAGCCTTGAGATTAAAAGTCTCACGCGCTAACCAATCTGAAGATGCCCGTTAGTCAACTGTTGTGTTGTGGTAGTAGGAATGGTGAGTTCTTACTGTGCCAGCCGGGCTGTGATTTGATTGATGAGCAGTTTCACAATAGTTTAGTATATATACTCAATTCATATCTCTCCAGGCTCGCTGCATGATTTGGACAGGACGTCTAGCTGAGGTTTGACACAAAGAATGATGGTGGGGCAGGTGGAGTCATGCTTCTTGATGGGCCCACATATAACATCATGCGTCATCGATTCTTTTTAGCAATGGATACTTCCAAATTAATGAGCTAAAGATAGTGGAAGCGTCGCACCGGAATGCTATAACAGGAAGCAATGCATTAATCAGAAAAGAGGTTTGCTTGCTGTCAAAATTGCGTCGTTTCATTTCCGAGATTCATTTACACAAAAAGAGCACTCATGCACTATATGTCCCACATTCAAGCCACCTTACCTACTGCGGCGCACCAACCTTTCCAGCGACAAGAGCGATAAGCGCGGCACCAACACCAGATCCGTCCTTCGCAATACCGATTCTGACTCTCTTCTCGCCCTTTGCACCAATCTCGGGTATCGCACGTAGTGCTTCACGAATGTACTCCTCAAAGTTGGGGTAGAACTCTACCAACGAGCCATCGACACCAATATCAATCTCATCGCCTGCACTGGCATCAACGTCTCCACGTGGGGGCTCGATGCCTGATTTCTGCTCCGTGGTAGCGGAGCCTGAAGACTTGTTCAGACGACCAGTGTTGATGATGGTACCGGCAATGGCAACAGCAGCAAGACGGGCAGCACGGCGACCGATCGCTCCAGCAATTAAGCGGACTGCCTCTGCGTCCTCAGCGCTGACAGCGGAGATGTCGTAGTCCTTGTCGAGCGTCTGTCGCAGCATGCGGAAGCCAGGGCTGTTGTCGCCGGCGCACACGCTGAGGAAGCTCGTGTCAAGACCCCACTGCTTCCATATTGGGCTGCTGTCATGAATTTGTGTGGTGCTGTGAACATCGTTCGAGGACGAGTTGTCATCAGTGAAAAGAGGAACAGCAGGGTCCTTGATCAGTTTAAGCAGAGCAAGACGTAGAAGTTCTCCCAGGAACATGCCTGATACACGCTTCTCGAACATTTGGATTCCGGGGTTAACAGAGTCCTTGTCAAGCTGAACATCGTAAGGGCTGTTGGGCAGAGTGCGGAGCGAGTTGTCGAAGCTGCCCCACTCAGTGTTGACAATCATCTCTCCAGTCGACTTGTCGTATACACCACCGTTCTTGTCCTTGGTGAGCTTGGTGACTTTGTCCAGCTTCTCGACGTAGGCTCCGTTAGTACCGGTTCCGAAAATTGCACCGAGTAATGTACCGGTCTTGCCGGGCGATGTGTATGAGCGTGCCATAAGAGTTCCGACAGTGTCGTTCACCAAAGCAGCCACCTTGACGGGGAGATGGAGCTCGTCAATTTCCTGCTGGAGCAGAGCGCACACGTCCTTGCCGACTGCATCCTGGATGTCAAAACCTTTTGTCCAGCGCATCAGCATACCCTTGTTGATTCCTATCTGGTGAACCGGGAACGAAAAGGTAAAACCCAGGTTGAAGATCTCCTCATCTTGTGGTTCGCCTTCCTTTCCTTCTCTGCGCCTGAGCGTGCCGGCGTAGTGTTCTTCGTGGTGCAGTTTCAGGAAGGCTTCGATCTGTTTCGCAAGGAAGGAGAAGAGCTCTTTGGATGTCTTTGCGACCATGAGCTCGCGCGGAATGGCTACTTTGCTCTGGGTGAGTGAGAAGGTGGTGTTACCGTGAAGCTCGATGGAGCAGACGCGGAAGTTGGTGCCGCCCAAGTCGACGGCCATGTAGAGACCCTGTGCAGTATCAGACGGGAGCGAACACTCGCGCATATCGAGGCCGTACCTTCTCCGTGCCATTGGGAACAGCAGTGACGTATGTCGGGATCTGGCTCATCTCGGTGCCTGTCTTCTCTAGGCCCTCGTCTGCGCGTCGTCAGCAGCCAATTGCCCAGCTTGTGTCCTCGTGCATACCCATCTCCCGAATAAACTCCTTGACGGCCTTGTTGACGGCATTGTCGTTGAAGTCGAACTCGGCGGCGACGCGCTTCGCCTGCTCTGCGAGTGTCATGCTGCGCTTATGTTGGGTGTTGAAAGTACCGACGAATTCGACCTGAGGTTCGGGCTTCGGGCAGATAGCAGGTTCCTGTAGGACGATCGGATTGCGGAGAGTGAAGGAAGGAGCCTGTTTGTTGGTAACAGTGCGTAAGACGGCGTGTGGGAGGTGGGGTGCGAAGAAACCGGTACCCAGCGCTAGTAGCAGGACGAGAACGGTGGCTACCGTGTGGGTCGCGAAAAGACTTCTTGTAGGTCCTGGTCGATCAGGACACGCGCTCTGTGTCGCGCTCTGAAGTGGGCGCGTGGCTTTATTGGAGCGTGACAGCGAGCTGATGCTCATACTGCCCCGCGTTGTCCAGCTATGACGGAGAACGAGGGGTAGGCAAGCTTGGGCATGCAATTACCATGCACGAACACCATCACTTGCATGCCAACGCGTTGGGATACGAGGCAAGATCACGTTGGGGAGGTGCAATTGGTTTAAAGGCGGAACGAGAACATTGCCATTCTTTGAGGAAGGCGTTCACACGGCTGGTTGCGCTAGCGATTGGAACGAGCAGTCGTCTAGCCGTCGGCATCGTGAAGTGAGGAGTTTGAGCACGTGCCAACGTACTTGACCGTGATTTACGTAGGCGGCTGACTCGGGACAGCGGCACGATTCTAGCTTCGTAAATTCGACCGCTTTTTTTGGGCATCTCTCTTCACAATGCCATGCTGCAGTTTCTCAACAAAGGAACGTCTTGCTTGCTTTTTTGCTCGTCGGCCTACACATGCTCAACTACGAAATGCTTCTCCATCCAGCCACCAACATGATACTTGCTACTGCTCGTGTAGCTATAGTAGTTATACACAGCACTTGGGAATAGGTTAAGCCCCTCGGGCAAACAAAAGAAATGAATGGTTACAAAGAACGAGCAAATAGAATCCATATGCATGTATCGAAAACTCCGTAGTATAGCAAGCAAGTGGTAAGGGAAAATAACCCAACCTCCACTGAGCATAAAACCCATGCAGTCAAGAAAAACATGATTAGCGGGCTGCCACAGTCTGTATGTGTGTGAAGGAGAAAAGGAGAGGCTGCTGCTGTCGCCGCCGCCGTAAGAGCGTTCTACAAGTATGTACGATATAGACAAAAGAGAAAACCCGAAAGCAACGGCTCCAGTCGTGTGAGGCCGGATTGTGTACGTCAAAATGTGTCCCTTCCCGGCCCAATTCTATTCGTCATTAGACATCCACCATCTGAGCGGGCCGCTGTCTGTCCATGAAGCCTCCCAGACTTCCTTGGGATTGTGGTCCGTCCGATGGTGATGATTCGGTGCGTATACGTGTTTGTGGAAGTAGGTGATGAAAGAGACGTCCAGCCCGCTCTGCTGACCGTCATTGAAAGAGAAAGGATGTGTCGATCGAGAACCAGTAGATGATTTCGCCAATGTCGCCCAAGTTGAACCAGTGTCAATGCAAAATATCAACATTCAAAACCAATGGCCGCCAAATCTGAGTCGAACATTATTCCTGTTGCTGAACCGCGACCGGAGGACGGGGTCCGAGGCTGCTTTGGCTGCTGTGCGCTGAGTTTTCCGTCGAATCTTCAGCTTTTGCGCTAGCGGAACTATTTGAAGCGCTTCCAGTCAGACTGCGAACTTGGGGACGTGACTTAGGCGGGTATAGATTGCTCACCCCAGCGTGTTGTTCAACCTGTTGTGGCGCCACCGCGTTTGCTTGGCCAGGAGGGTGTCTTGGTACTGGCTGCCCCATGCCGGGGGGCGATGGCCGCCGCCCGTTGGGAGGCATTCCATTAGGAGGCATGCCATTGAAGCCGTTTGGCGGTGATGGTCGGCCCATGGGTCGTGGGCCCGGGCTGAGAGGGTTGCCAGGTGACTGGCTCATACGGCGGCTGTTCGGCGTCGGGTAAGCACCGTAGCCTCCGCCACCTGAGAGCTCATCTAGACGAGCTGATGTCAGTGAGTTGGTTCTGGATTGAGCGCCCATAGCGCCGCGATCGACGTGTCCGTAGCGATCCGACGAGTAGCCCATAAGGGGGTTATTCATGATCGAGTCGTGGAGACCAGGAACGTCTGCCATCAACCGAGCACTACTCCGATTCTTGTTCATTCCTGGACGCCCAAATGGGTTGCGTCCTCCTCTGTTGGGTCCAGGACCAAATCCTGCGCCTTCAGGGTTGCTACGGATCTGCTTAGCACTAGGAGCTGAGCGGTTGCGACGCGAAGTTACGCTCATCATGTCAAAGTTGTCGGGGTCAATCATTGGACCTCCTCGACCGCCCATGGGATCAAAGTAGTCATCGCCGTCGTCATCATCGTCGTCGAAACCGGCCATCGATTGGGGTGGCGGAGGCCGTCCTCGACCACGGCCCATAGGGCCCATGGGTCCCATTGGAGGACCCATTGGGCCAGGACCACCGCGACCCATGGGTGGGCCACCTCGCATATTCATCTCCTGTTCTCTGATCTGCAGTTCTCTCTGCCTCAGCATCAGTTCTCGCTCGCGAAGTGACAGGTTGTTGGAAGAGCTTCCGGCGCTCTCGTAAGGACCTCCGTTTACAGCGCCATCAGGAACCATATCATCATAGAGCATCAGATGCGAGAACTCCTCCAAGTTGCCGTTCTCCTCGAACGAGGGACGTCGTTGGCCATTGGGGGCTCCGTTCATCCTCGGGGGGTAGCCGTTGGGGCCTGGAGGTGGGCCACGACGCATCATTGGAGGACCTCCGTTGATGGAAGGAGCACGGCTTCCGGGGCGAGGACCACCGTTCATGGGACCGTTGCCGTTCATCATTGGGCCTTTGACAGGGGGTCCACGGGGCATGGGTGCTGAGGATTGTCTGGGGGGTGGCTGCATGCCATTTTGAGGAGATTGTGTGGCAGCTACTGGAGCAGCCGGGCGTGTTCGGTTGA